TCAATACCATGAGGGAGCAATACAGAACTCGTAAGGGGCAACACTGATGGATGACAAGAAGTGCGATAGGATTTCCCTACTTGAAGCAACAAGGACACACTTCCGTATTCAGTTTCTGGCAAAATGATCCAACCTAAGCCATCACTGCCCCATATTCATAAATGGATCTAAATAATTTATAGATTTTGTGTAAATCTATTATCCTCATGTGACCACTTCCACCAGTTAATTTCTTTTTTGCTTTACTAACAGTTAACTATCGCTTTCTTAATCTAAAGTATATCTAACCAGCCATTCTATTTAAAAAAAATATGGGTCAGACACCAGGGTATATAGATAACATTTAGGCATCTACATACAGTGGCCATTTGCTATCCGCTGGAATTTAGTTCCAGGATACCTGTGGATACTAAAATCCAAGGATGTTTAAGTCTCATTATTTACAATGGTGTAGTAAAATGGTGTCCTTATATAAAATGGCAAAACCAAGGTTTGCTTTTAGGAATGTTGGGGAGGAGAAAACGCCAGCCCTCCACATTTACAGACTTGATTAATATGGTCTCTCTAGGTTCTCCGGTGCAAAAACCTATTCTCACTTGAAATGAGGTACACATTTACAGTTGAAAACAATTTATAAAAGAAATTAAAAATCTAGGTGGACAATGCCTTTCTTTATTAAGCTCATCTAAAATGTAAAATGCAAAAGCTGGGTTGCAGTTAAACATTAAAAAAAAGATTATGGCAACCAGACTGATTGGTAACTGGCTAATTGGGGGAGAAAAGGTGGAGGCGGTGACAGACTTTGTATTTCTAGGAGCGAAGATTACTGCAGACGCAGACTGTGGCCAGGAAATCAGAACATGTTTACTTCATGGGAGGAGTGCAATAACCAATCTCAATAAAATAGTGAAGAGTGGAGACATTACACTGGCAATGGAGATATATAAAGATAAAGCAATGGAATTCACTATAGTAACCTATGGATGCGAGAGCTGGACCATAAGGAAGGCTGAGCAAAGGAAGATAGACACTTTTGAACTGTGGTGCTGGAGGAAAATTCTGAGAGTGACTTGGATCGCAAGAAGATCAAACCAGTCCATACACTAGGAAATAAAGCCCATCTGCTCACTCGAGGGGAGGATATTAGAGGCAAAGATGAAGTACTCTGGCCAAATAATGAGAAGACATGAAAGCTTGGAGAAGACAATGATGCTGGGGGGGAAAGGAAGGAAAAAGGAAGAGGGGCTGACCAAGGGCAAGATGGATGGATGTTATCCTTGTGACTGGCTTGACTTTGAAGGAGCTGGGGGTGGCCACGGCTGACAGGGAGCTCTGGCGTGGGCTGGTCCATGAGGTCACAAAGAGTTGGAAGTGACTGAACGAATCAACAACAAAAAATGTAGTAAGTGCATGGAAGCTTTTGGGGCATTTGGGTTGGTCCTAATAAAGTTATTGGGAAATTGTGGATTTTTCCCTTCTCATCAACCATTTGGGTTTTTTTTAACTTGCTGGAAAAGTGCTACCTTTTCTTTTAGAACTGCTTTGTATAGCAATCCAAATCAGATTTAGCAGTAAAACTCTTGTATGAGTAAGTGGGCTAAACATAAATTTGTGTTAGATTACTGTTAAAGTGACAAGAACAGCATCAATAAAATTGATACTTTTGTTTCCACTTAAATTTAGATTTCCCCATTACAGTTCTACTCAGGTATTTCATCAAAATTAAATCCTTTCCTAAACACATTGGTTCATCACTGCTGCCTTGACCTGCAGACTTTCCTTAGCTTGCTTTGGAGTTTCATAGATGTTAAAAGGTAACACTGCAAATACGGTCCAGTGCCAAACTAATTTTATATACAGCACGAACCTTCATTAAGCTATAAATTACTTCCAATGGGAGCAAAGCCCATATACTAATGCTCTTTTTAGAAAATCTGTTATATCTCTTCTTAAATAGAAGTAGCACCCTGGATAGGGAAGAATTTTAAACGTTTCAAATACCTTCAATTTACTAAATGCATGCTTCTGCTCTTTGGAGAACAAAAATCAAAAGCCCTCTAATGAGAACCATGTGATTGGCAACAAAAAGAAGCATTGTTTCTGGTTTTACTAACCAGGAAATGATGGCAGAACCAGGATAATATATGTGTATATGTTCAGGAGTCCAATTGTACATATCACATTCCAGAGTATCTGCTTCTCACATTATATCTTCATCTTCTAGAAGTTACTAATTGCAAGCAGCTACTTTGACCAGTATATTCAAAGAAACTGTACTCAATCTAGGAGAGAACGATTTCACTTTGGTGCTTTATTCTACAAATGATGTTATTTTTGGGAACACCAATACAGAAATTTAACTATAGGTCAGTTAGGCGTATGCACCAAAGACATAAAACTAATTTAGTTGTAAAACATTTTTCAGCAAGATATTTTTGGTTCAACATGGGGAACAAAGAACTAGTATAAACTTGACTTCACTTTGATATTCTGCATTCAGAAGACAGTATCTTGCTATCGCCAATGGAAATGTCGTAAAATAGCAGACAACTTTTGAGTTTTCCAGAATTTTTCTCTAGATAACATGTTAAAGAAAATATTATTTGGCAGCAATTGTAGTTAATCTTTATCAAAGTAGCACTCCATAGTGGCATTTTGATTCCTCACTCCATGAAGTATTACAGATGTACGTGCTGTGTGTTGCAGTTTATCCAAGCCATCTATATGTGACAGGAATCCTAGAACTTTTTTTTTGGGGGGGGGGAGGATGTCAGGAGTGACTTGAGTCATTTCTGGTGTGAGAGAATTAGCTGTCTGCAAGGATGTTGCCCAAGGGACACCCAGTTCCCCATGCGGGGACATGAGAAATCTCCCACAAGGATGGTGATGATGTTTCACCATCCTTGTGGGAGATTTCTCATGTCCCCGCATGGGGAACTGGAGCTGACAGAGGATGCTCATCCACACTCTCCTTTGATTTGAACCTCTGACCTGTCAGTCTTCAGTCCTGCCAGCACAAGGGTTTAACCCAGGCATCCTTAAACTGCAGCCCTCCAGCTGTTTGGGCCTCCAACTCCCAGAAGCTCTAATGAGATTGTTCAACTGTCAGGAATTCTGGGAGTTGAAGGCACAAATAGCTGGAGGGCTGCAGTTTGAAGATGCCTGGTTTAACCCATTGCGCCACCAGGGGCTCTAAAGAAGTAAGATTATTTATCTGAACACAGGATTATTCTGTAGGGTGATTATCATACAACCACTAAATATACTAATTTTGCACCTACTGACTTTGTAACTCTGTACATTGCACCACTGAGAAATGATTCTAATGATCAAAATTCACCTGTTTTGGTTAGGACTATTGTATGGCAGCTGAAGCTCCACAAAGTAGTAACACAAGAAATTAAGGTTGATACCATTATAGCCATCTCGTCATCCATAAGAATGGTTAGAATGTCATGAATTGTATTTTTTTCTATCCTCCCCCATGCACCCATACTTAGTTTTACTCTTTTAATGGCATACTAGAGATAAAGAAACCACTCCTTTTCTTCATTCTATAACGCACTATTAAACTATAGGCAGTCTCCAAGTTATGAACAAAATAGATTCTGTAGGTTTATTATTAAGTTGAATTTGTATGCAAATTGGAACAAATGCTTTTTTAAAGTGTAATTCCTGTGGTGTTTGTTCTGTTGTCTTACTGCGCCCCTGTTCAGAAGATTTCACCTCACTTTCTGTTTTTTTTATTTGTATATTGCCATTAAGGGTAGGTGGGGACTGGGAGCAAAAATGTTGCATTATAAAGCCAGTTTGGGGGAGGGGGGGGTCATCATTTGAATAAGCTAGTGGCTCTGTGACCTACAAAATGTCTCCCATGGGTTGCACTTTTTACATCCCATGTCTGTCACCACAGGCATCCTCATTTAAGTTGTCCCACACAGACACACTTTGGATATTTGAGTGCTGGATTACAACTCTGGAAACAAGGATTCAAATTCCTGCCCTACCACATAAACCCACTGGATATCTTTCTATGAGCCACATACTCTCAAGCCTTAGAGGAAAGGCAACCCCTCCTCCACAAAAAAAGTCAAACCCCATGATAGATTCATCTTAGGGTTGCCATAACCAGGAAATGACTTGACGGCACATAATGTTTTCATTGGTTTTTCACTCCTTTTCAAATCCTCTTTGCTATTCTTCTTGTACACATCAGGCGTAATTCTCTCTGAATATCAACAGGCAGACAGATGCACTGTGAAAAACAGGCAAGGCTCATTAGAACAGAAATCGAGCCTCTGTTGTTTCAGCATTGAAAAAGGCCAAATATGAAAGAAATGTAAGCAGTTTTGTCTTCTGATGTTCTGAAATCAGCTGCAAGCATTTGGAAGAAACCTCAAGGCTTTTGGCTCCTGAGAAGCCATGTTCATTCTGTGTATATAGATATCTACTTCCCAGATACTATTATACTATACTAGATATCGTACTTCAGACTACACAATATCCTAAAAATAAAATAATTCTGGGATGCATTTCTTTGTATGTCCCCTTGGTATCCATGTCAGGTGTTCAGGTCTTAGTTTAAGTCTCAAACCATTTAACCCTCTAACTATTGTTGGACTACAAATCCCACAAACCTTAGTTCAATGGTTCTCAAACCGGGCTGAGTCCCTCTTATGAGGTGAGAAGCTCGGTATATAAAACTTTGAAATAAATAATAAATAAACCTGTGGGTTCCCAGGTGTTTTGGACTACAACTCCCAAAAATCCCAGCCAGCTTACCAGCTGTTAGGATTTCTGGGAGATGAAGGTCAAAACATCTGGGGATCCACAGGTTGAGAACCACTGCCTTAGTTGTTATAGCCAATACTGAAGAAAAGTGGGAGTTGCAATTTAACAATCTATGGTGGCAATACAATTCTCACCCAAGTTTAAGACCTCTGATTGAGACAGGCGGATTCTTTCTTATTAGAAATACATAAAACACACAAAAAAACCCATAATACAAAATCCATTTATTACTGACATTTTCTCCAACACGCTATATATGTTATCCTTCAGAAATTCAAATGTGAAGGTGGACAATGGTGCTGAAGAGAACAGCAGCAAAAGAGCTACCTACCATAATTCGTTTCAACACCCGCTCCAAATCTCTTGCTTAAAATGAAACCAGTGTTTATCTTTAAACAGCAACACAGCATTATTAGTATGGTACTCTTTCCATTGATGCCAGAATCCTGCCTCTCTCTTCTGCTGTAGGCATTTCTGGCTTTATTCCATCTTTTCTTCTTTGCATCAAAATCCCATGCTAAAAATACAAAAACATGTCACTGATTTTGATCAATTTCATTATCAGCAAATACTCGAAACAATCTGGAGTATGGACTTTCATCTTATCTCTATTACACATTTCATAATAATGGATCAATATCAATGTCATTAAAAGCAAATAAAGAAGATGCACTACCAAAAACAGTGTGATACTCAAAAGAATCAATTTCTCCATTGAAAATATTATGATTAAGATTCAGTGGGGGAAAAGAAGTCAAATCAATTTAAGAGGTGCAACATCATTTTTCAGTATTATCTCCTATCAAGATGGCAGACTAGTTTACTACAAAACAGTATAAATGACAACACTATCAAGTATGGCATGTGGAATAAACATTAAATAATATTTTTATGATTTTGATCTACACAATTTGCAAATATAGAACTCTGCTATACAATGTTTTATTGTATTAAAATGAACATCTACTTTGACTTTACATTCTCCAACAGAGAGGCATTGCTTATGCTAGTCAGGTATGTGCTTGAGACAAAGCAGGTGCAACTTTCAAAGCATGTAATTAATTTTTAAAAAAGATTCCTCTAAAGACCTAATACATGCAAAAAGAAACAAAATACACTGGTTTTAGTAGTTGAACAATGAGGATAGCACCCAGCCAGATCTACTCAGCTAGTTCTCCTCGTGTAAAATCAGTATCAACCAGTTAAGTCTGTTAACATGGTAGTTTATAAAATTATATAAGCTCTTATCAACACCACAATTGTTGCACTTTCCTACTGGGAAGGACTAGGGCCACAGTAGAATCATTTTCCTACTATGTCAAGAGACTGTGGACAAAAAAAAAGTTTCACCACTTCACTATCCACAATTGTTACTGAGATTAGACTTCCATAGAAAAAATCTGAAATTTAAAGTATTTGCACTTTATGTAAAAGTTGTTTTACTGATTGTATTTGCCCTGAACCAAGGTGTGTAATAATACTTTATCTGTGCATCTATTCATTGTAGTTTTAAAAGCTTCTGTACTAAGTTTTCCAAGCATCACTGATAAAGATATAAAGTCATGTTTCTTCAGTCTTGTACACTCACAATCAAAACAAACTGAACAGCCCATGAGAAACATTTCAAATTTACTTACCCAAAACTTTCTGCAATTTTTGTATTTTAAGAAATAGCTGGAGCATACATCTTTATTGTAGTTACTGTCATCCATACATTTTCTAGAAGCATCTGTTTCCTTGAATGTCAAAGAAAATCATGTCATAAACCAACAGGAGACAAGGTTTACATTCCACAACTTTTGCCAGTTTTATATCCTGAGGCTGCACACACCTATGAGTGAACAAATATATACACGTATGAGTGAACAATTCATGTGTACTCAGTTTTACTCACAGCTGCTTCCTCAGAAGGCTGGTTGACAACTGCAATCCTAAATACACTTCTTAGAAGGTATGCCCACATGTTTGTGTTTTTATGTCTATTTAGAGGTTTGCATGTTTGCAAATAATGACTCTGGAGACTAGAGGCTGAATCCCTATTCGGCCATGGAAACCTACTAGGTGACCTTAGGCAAGTCACACTGTCTCACACTCAGAGAGAAGGAAAAGCAAAACATTTGCTAAAAAAACCCTACCATACGTTTGAGTTGGAAATGACCCAAAGACATACAACAAGAAGCAAACTGTCTTCTTCGCCTCAAAAGGAATCTATAAATAACTTTACATTTTGAAAAGCTTGTTCTTTTATAAATATACTAGCTGTACACACCATGCATTGCTGTGGCCAGCCTTCCCTCCTTTCTTTCTTTCTTTCCTTCTTTCATTCTCTCCCTTCCCTCCCTCTTTCCTTCTCTCCTTCCTTTTCTTCCTCTTCCCTTCCTCCTCTTTTCTTTGCCTTTCTCTTTCTCCCCTTTCTTCCTTCTCTACCTACTCTTGGACTACAACTCCCAGTAGTCCTCCTGATCAATCTCTCTACCTACATATCTATATCTATCTAATCTATCTATCTGGAGGATTGCTGGGAGTTGCAGTCCAGGAATAGGAAATTGGAAATATGCAGGGATTGGTATTCCCTCAAATAAATCCAAGGAGAAGAAAGCTCCCATCTCGGAAGCAGTACATTTGAATCATCCTCCTCTCCTAAAGGGCCTGGTCTAGGAGATGCTAGCAGAGTTGTAGTCCGGAAGAGAGCGTGGATATACTATTGTGTGTTTTGTTTGCCAGGGGGAGTCGTTTTTGCACATGTGCTGTAGTATCTTTTTGCTTTTTGGGGCTTTTTAAGTCCGTTCCTCTGTGTTTGTCAGTATGTTATGAGTGATGGTCACTCATTGGCCTGATATGTGTTCTCTGTACAAATTTGGTGTGTTAATCCCACAAACGAACATTACATTTTTATTTATATAGTTAGCCAACTGAAAGATGCTGCAAGCATTAAATCACAGTCCACAAAACTCTAATGACCTCTTTCTTAGAAATGTATGACTATAACCATATTTATTTTAAAAGAGGAAATATGTTTATTGTGCAAAGCTGCATACCCCCTCCCCACCAAAAAAATCAATGAAACTTAGCTTCTTACTGCTAAACAGGGATTTATGTCATGATCACGAAGTCGTTGCAGTTTTTTGGACATAAAGATGCTTGTTGGTTTTTGGGTTTTTTGCAGCTAGAACAAAGAAAGCAAATTTTCAAACACTGCTTTAAAAACAGTTCTCATCTTCATTAAAATTTAAGATTTTCAGTATAAAAGTGCAAGTATTAATTTCAATATATTAAGAAAAAAGCATAAAGTACTGTTAAGTTATCATCCCACTCCAAAGTTTTGCAGTTAGCCCATAATTCTCTTGCAGTTTTATGCAAACAGATCTATATTTATGGCACTCCAGATGTGGTATGCAGTATTTCCTTACTCTCTATTATTAATTATTAATATTATTCACCAATTAAAAAATTTCAATTTTAATTCAAGGGACGTTGTTTTAAGAAGCCATTTTATACATGAATATGAGCTACTTCAATCAACTACATGGAGAAACACATTACATTAATAACTTTTCTAGCCAATTTCCACTCAAAAACACAATTTTTCTATCATTTGAGGTATTGAGTGGAATGTAGTCTCTTAAAACTTTCAAAATGTTCAATGAATACTGTTCAGACTACTGGAAATCTTTTCAATTCAATTGGGAAGTGATACCTTTAGTGATTTTTTTCTTATTTTTTTCTTATGTGAGCAGTGAACACAATATATATTTTTGTAGGTTTTCAGCAGATTTAATTTGTCTGTTAATTGTGTTATCTTTTGTTTGTTTCTACAGTCTCATTTCTCTTTCTTGTATTTTGTGTTATTGTTAGAAACTACCTTGAGAGTATTTATGGGGATGCTCAAAGGCAGTATGTATATGTCTTTATAAACACACTTAAATTTTAGAAAAGAAAAGAAAAAGTAGTAGTAAGTAATATAAAATGTTGCTACTTGCTGTACTAAGAAGCACTAAAAACTGGCCATGTTGGGTCTGTGGGCCAAGTTTGGTCCAGATCTAGCGTCGCTGGGTTCAGGGCTCTCTGGATAAGAATAAACTACAACACTCAGAGCCAAGGCCATTCAATGCCATGTATGTACAGTTGGCCATGTTGGGTTCTATTTAAAATATGAAACTTCAAATATACGCGAGACAAGCAATTTCTTTTATTTCAGTGTTAACACTTATAGGATTATAAATTTGTATCCAATGGTTTCATTCTACGGCAAATCTTCTACTACTTGCAGAAACCCTGTCTTTCATCCCTGGGCAAGTGTCCAATCCAGCACTTTCATTCTGCTTGAGTTACGTCATTAGGCTAAGTTGCAACACCAACTCTTGTATTTTTCCATTAGTGTAAAGTTAGATATAATTCTTCATTTAAAGCTGCTTGTCTGCTTTCATTTTCCATCTGCTTAGAATTCATAAGTTCACTCCTCTCTTCATGGTGAGTCAGTCTCTTGAGGTAGAAAACAGCAGTCAGCATGGCTGATGATTTTTGACATAACAGCAAATCAGTTTTAGTAACCCCTTGCAGTTCATTTGAGAACTCACGCAGGTTTACAAACCATGATTTCACATGTTCATATGCAGCCAAAATGTTCAACTGGATTACAGAATGAGAAATATTTTTAGGATTTGATGTTAGAAAATTACTTTCAAATGCTCTAGATTACAAATATCTTTTGAAGTCTGTTCTAAGAGTACAACTAGGAATCTGTCAACCTTATTCCTCAAGCAATATGGGTAACAAGTTTTTTAAAAGAACCACAGACTTGATTACCTCTCAGTTTCTCATTTAATTCAAATTCTTTTTCTCCTTAAGTAAAACACAGGCAATGTTTGAAAAGACTCCTAAAATATTAACTTGCAACTAAAATATGAGAAGAGTTGATAAGCCTTTTAACAAAATATTCATGTAAACTAACCTTTCATCTTTATATTAAAAGTTTCAGATACAGAAGATATTCATGTATGAAATCTAGATTAAAATGGAAATGGTATTTGTTATTTCACAGATACCATTTACTCTGGTAAGTCATTAAAACAGTCTTATTTCACCCATTTGCATTTTCTATAAATCCTATTCTATCTCAAATCTATGCAAGCTCAACAAAGTTCCATATGGTTTTCTCCAACACTATGTATAACAAAAAGAAAACCTATTACGGTATTATGTTACTATGAAATGTCTACTGCACTGTATAGCTATCACATCTCTTTCCAAAATATGTACAGTTTTCTTTCTGCAAAACAAGGATGCATTCTCATGAAATTTACAGTTTTTAGAGAAATGAAATAAAGCAAAAGAGCCGCACATGCTGGTATGACATCAACGACAAAGATAAAACTATTATTAGATTATCTCTAAACTCAGATAACATAAGCTTCCATTTGCCCATTACACTGCTTAAACCTTAAGGCTCTCCCACTTTCACAAGACATATATTTCTGGGGGGTTGCGTGAAACCACAGATATGAGCTTATGCCATTGAATTACTTCATTTTCAATCCCAACATAACATAAATTAACATTGGGGGTTCTAGGAAATTACTAGAGACACATCCTAATGTAACTGTATCCAACGCTTGGTAACATCTGGAGGAAGTATATACAGAATCACCTGGTGGGCCTACCAAGCTTCTAGATTAACAATTTCCCCCCAGGTAAGTGAAACCATGGATATGGGTTCTGTGGTTATGGGGCTTGGCTGTTGTTTCTCATTTCAGTGTTCCTTCCTGCTTTCCAAACTGGCTTAAATTAAAACATACTAAAGAATGTTAGCGTGCTACCACGCTCTCTTTCAGTTTATAGTTGCAACTGTTTACATGAGACAACTATAATTTTAAATGATAGAACTTTCTATCATTTGATGTATTTGTGCTGTATTATAGTTTGGAGGTATATACAAATGTAAACCTTCAGCACACCCTTTCCTTGTTGACACTCAACAATTCCATATTCGCTGGGTCAAATAATCATACTTTCCCATTGTGCCTGAGCCAAAAAACTACGGCTGTTCAGAGCTTAAGCCAAATTCAAATTGGACTGACATTTTATTACAACAGAAAGCTATGGATAATTAACCGTAGTGTTGAAGCACAGAGTTCTGAGAAAGGAAGATGGAAAGGATAGCATGAGACATTGTCTGTATGCACAAACGCCTCAGTAGTCTCACTGAATCAACAGAGCTTACATGGTTAACTTATCCAATTTCCACCAAATGAATGGGTCTACTTTTGGGGAGGTATTAACAAATGGATTTAGGCCTAATAGTAGAAGTGCTTGATTTATTTCACTTTTACCAGAAAAGAATTGTTGTTGCAGCCTCGGGTTTCTGATAAGTACACAGCGCTATTCATAAATATTAACCTGGTTTTGGTATTAGTGTATATACTTGACTACAAGCCTAGTTTTTCAACCCCCTTTTAGGCTGAAAAAGCCCCTCTCAGCTTATATTCAGGTAAGGGTTCTAGTGGGAAGGTGTGGGGCTGGAAGGGCTTCTTTCAGTCCCTCTCCTTCCTGCCAGGACCCTCACCTCTCCGAACAACTACCTAGGTCTTCTTCCTCTCCTCCTCTCTTGTGCAGTGTGCACCTTCCTCTCCTCCTCTCTTGGCGCCAGTCTTTCCCACTTTTCCTTATTCATATACACACACAGTATTTCCCCCAAAATGTATATTTAAAATAAACTATGGTGTTTATTGGAAGGATATGTAAGCACATTTACATTGAAGATTAAAATAATTATTTAATCAGAGTTGGGACAGTCTTATCTTAAATTAGTTTTATGTAACTATTCAAAAACATGTAACCTACTGATGCCTCAATTAATGTAATTTTATTGGTATCTAGTTTTATTTTGAAATTAGGAGCCCCCAGTGGCGCAGTGGATTAAACACCTGTGCCAGCAGGACTGAAGACCAACAGGTCGCAGGTTTGAATCCGGGGAGAGGTGGATGAGCTCCCTCTATCAGCTCCAGGTCCTCATATGGGGACATGAGAGAAGCCTCCCACAAGGATGATAAAAACATCAAATCATCCAGGCGTCCCCTGGGCAACGTCCTTGCAGACGGCCAATTCTCTCACACCAGAAGCGACTTGCAGTTTCTCAAGTCGCTCCTGACACGACAAAATTTTTTTTGAAATTTACCAGTAGCTGCTGCATTTCCCACCCTCAGCTTATTACTCAAGTCAATAAGTTTTCCCAGGTCTACGTGGTAAAATTAGGTGCTTCAGATTATATTCAGGTCAGCTTATACTCAAGTATATACAGTATATTCCCTTTTTATTAAACTTGGGATTGTCTCATCCTTTCATGTTCTATGACAGTTTATTTCCTTATTTTCTAAAACATAGTTTTCCAAATCAGGAAACTCATCAGACCCTTGCTTAAAAAAAAGGAAGATGAAATCATGCTTTCTGGCTTTTATCTGTAGAGAAGATTCAAACTTTGTGTTTTGAACATTTAGTTTGAACATCGCTGCAATATGCTGTTTAACAAACCAAGAAGTTCTGCATGAAGATATGTGAGAGGGAAAAAAGGCACACCTTGTATATCTGATCTAAGGAATAGTTGATGAACCAGGCATTAATTAGATCAGTGTTCCCCCAGATCTTGTTACAGTAAAGCAGATCCATTTAATCTGTCATCCACTTTCTTGGAATGTTCTATAAAGAACCAGGGCAAGCAATATCCAATCTGCTGACTGGAAAGTTTTAATGCTATTGCAAAAGTCTTGGATGAGATGGTGGTTTCCATGTCCCCCTACCATTACACCACAGCTATGATGTGCTCAAAAATATTGTTTCTATTTTTATCTATCATTATACCTGAACCATGATGTGGTTACTTTTAACAATAGTTTATCCAACTAAAACAGGACAATAGACTTAAGTCTCTACTTTCATTTGGACACAGTAACAGAACAAGCTAATTAAAATGTAAGCCAATTTTTCTGATTTTATACTTGTAATTGTTCCTGCAGTACAAAACTTTAGTTTAGTAATGCTTTATCAATGAATTACTTTGAGTGCTTTGGGGGTACTTTGAATGCGTTTTTCCTGCTTCTTGGAAGTGGGGTGGACTGGGTGGCCCACGAGGTTTTGCCACTCTATGATTTTATTAATGCCCCAAGGACAGCATCAAGTATTACGTTGCTGTGCATGCATACGTGTGTGTACATACACTGCTTACATTGTGCCTGTTCCAGTCATATGTGAAACTAATGCACTATTTTATTTTCACACTTTTTGTCCTTGAAAACCATACCTCTGAACTTTCTAGTTGAATGCCTGACACAATTAAAATTAATTATACTTTTATTTTCCCTTCTATATTCCTGTTTCTTGCCAATTTCAATGTTTGTGTGTATGTTTGCATGGATGTGTGCGTATTTATTTATCGTGTCAGGAGCAACCAGACATTTGTGTGGATGTATGTGTGTGGATATTGCTATTTTCTGCTAGTGGAATGGTCCGTCCAGACAGTAGGAGAGCCTCATGACAATGAGTTCCCTCTGATATCTGGTATTCAGAGGGAACCCTGAAATCCAATCCTATTTTCTCCCAGGATTTAGGTGTATGTATTTCTATCTAACATGAGAACTTTTTACCAAGTTGAAAAAAACCTATCACACTTGAATACATACCAGATCGTATCCTGTATGCGAAAAATACACACAGAACCCAAAGAATGTCTTGCAGTTGTCTAGATTATGAGAAATAGAGCAAAGTCTTGCTCCGTGGAAGAATAGTATCAACCTTCTTTGGGCAAACTAGAACTCTGATAATTCCAAAGCATGGCAGTTAAAATTGTGTCGAATTGCATTACATCTTTCCCTAGTCTCCTTCCAAAGGGAAATTCACAAGAATTAAACAACCTGGTAGTGCTGTATGCTTTGCAAGATGCATTATCCGCAATTCACTATAATCCATGACTTGAATTGTTTTAAAGGTTGTCAAAAATCAAACCATGGTCTTGACATTTCTTATAATGGACACCGGTTTAATAATAGTAATATTCAATAGTAATAAATGTTATTTCTTACTCGCCTTACTGGCTTAAGACAGGATACAACAGTCAAAAACGTATCAACATAAAATACATACCACAAAATATGTATATCAAAATAGGTTAATATAAGGAACATACACCAAAAACATATAGTACAAAGATTGAAATACCAGAGCAAAATACTGATTGCATATCCAAAAGAGTTTACTATGCCGTTATACAGAGTGCGCCAAAAGTCACAAAGGCATCTGATGTTTTAATAGCTTATTTGGTTTTGTAAAAAATGTAATGTCCTTTACATATTGGATAGGAGTCATTAAATATGAGGAAACCCTTTGTGACTTTTGGCACACCATGTGTATCCACCAAGTTACAGACATACAATTAACAATTGAAAAGGAGGGGGGGGGGGTGAGGCAATGTGGTGGGTCAAAAGTCAGAGAAAATTATTTATTTACCTCATTTATATCCCACCCTTCTCACCCTGAAGAGAACTCAAGGTGGCTTACAACAAAGGTACAATTTGATGCCTTGAATACATATAAAAATAAAGCATATAATTTAAAATCACATAGTTAAAAATATATCAATTCAACACTTACTTAAAATCACACAATCCGAAAACATATACCAGAAGCCATTCCAATTGTCATTTGTATTGTTCATTATTGCACTGAAACTTTGATTGTTGCACTAGGAATCCCTGTGCAAACAGTTGGTCTCACAACCAGGATTTAACTTTCTTCCTAAAGGTCAGAAGGGAGAGAGCCAATCTAATTTCCCTGTGGAGGGAGTTCCACAGCCAAGGGGCCACCTCCGAGAAAGCCCCATCTCTTGTCTCCACCAGTTGGACCTGCGAGGGGGGTGGGACTAAGAGCAGGGCTTCCCCAGATGCTTTTAACCTCCGAGATGCTTCATAGGGGAAGATACATTCAGACAGGTAAACTGGGCCAGAACTGTTTAGGGCTTTGCAGCAAAAGTCAGCACTTTGGACTGTGAAAAGGGTAGAAATCTACCTCTTGGAAGGGAAATTCACTCCTGGAAGAGTTATCATGGAGGTGTTTCTATTGAAGCTTTATCAAAACAGGGTATCCGCAGGAATACCAAGGTGCTTGTTCATAAAGCTATTGTCCTCCCAACCCTGCTATATGCCTGTGAGACGTGGACTGTCTACAGACGTCACATGCAACTCCTGGAATGATTCCATCAGCGCTGCCTCCGGAAAATCCTGCAAATGTCTTGGGAAGACAGGCGGACAACGTCAGCGTGCTGGAAGAAGCAAAGACCACCAGCATTGAAGTGATGGTCCTCCACCATCAGCTCTGCTGCACCGGCCACGTTGTCCGGATGCCCGACCACCGCCTCCCAAAGCAGTTGCTCTACTCTGAACTCAAGAATGGAAAACGGAATGTTGGAGGACAGGAAAAGAGATTTAAAGATTTGCTCATAGCCAACCTTAAAAACTCTGGCATAGACACTGAGAACTGGGAAGCCCTGGCCCTTGAGTGCTCCAGCTGGAGGTCAGCTGTGACCAGCAGTGCTACAGAATTTGAAGAGGCACGAATGGGGGGCGAAAGAGAGAAACGTGCGAAGAGGAAGGCGCATCAAGCCAACCCCGACTGACTGAGACCACCTTCCACCTGGAAACCAATGCCCTCACTGTGGGAGAAGATGCAGGTCAAGAACAGGGCTCCACAGTCACCTACAGACCCACCAGAATACTGATCCTGGAAGACTATCCTACTCGGCCAATGAAGGATCGCCTAAGTAAGTAAAGTACCCTTCCCTATCCTGTCCAATGTATGTTTGTATGTGTGTATACACATACAGACACACTTGGCTGAAGTTACACACTTACTTACTTAGGCGATCCCTCGTTGGACGAGTAAGATGGTCTTCCATTATGCGTTTCCTTGTGGGTTTGTAGGTGGCTGTGGAACCCTATTACACACACTTGGCTCGCGTTACACTTAAGAAAGGACCTGTTCCGACTTACATACAAATTCAACTTAAGAAAAAGTCTACAGCACAGGCATGAGCAAACTCCAGCCTTCCAGGTGTTTTGGACTTCAACTCCAACAATTCCTAACAGGCTGTATAAGCCAGGGCCTGCCTGTAATGGACTTAAGCATTCAAGGATTTTGCTATCCACAAGGGATCATCCAGCCTTACCAGAAGCTTGTGGTACATTAGAGCAAAGCATGAAGGAAGTGGAGAAAGGGAGAGGGGGCAGAAGAGGAGGGAGAGAATCCCCTCCCAGACCCTCGGTGGTGGGCTAAAGGGAAGCGGGGAAGGGGCCGCCGCCTTGAAGGCATAGGCATGCCCTTCCCGTTCCCTGGAGAGTCGGTGAAAGGAAGCCCGCCGCCATGCGGAAAGGGCGGAAGGAGAGGAAAGGAGGGGACGGGGAGGGGGGGCCAAGTGAGTGGAGCCTCCTTCTTTGGAGGCTTTTAAGCAGAGGCTGGATGGCCATCTGTCGGGTGTGCTTTGAATGCGATTTTCCTGCTTCTTGGCAGAATGGGATTGGACTAGATGGTCCATGAGGTCTCTTCCAACTCTATTATTCCCATATTAGAGGGAAAAAATCATCTTAAAATCCGGTTTCTGCCTTCTGCAGAATTCTGGGGTTTGTAGTTTAGTTCAGTCTCCCTGAACTACAAACCCCAGAATTCTGCAGGATTTTAAGTGGGTTTTCTCTCTAGTGCGATGAAGGGGTAGGGAAGCCGCCCGGCCCTTGTCACCTTCAGCCGCGACCCCTTCCAGGGAAGGCTCTTCTTCACGCCTCGGCCTGCTCCCCTCCGCGAGGGACTCAGCGGGTCACCTTGTCCTCTCAAGAAGCCCCTGACTGGGAAGAGCCCTCCGGAGGCAAGACTCACCTCAGCAGCAGCGGCACCAACAACAGAACTCGCTCAGTCCCCAATTCGAAAGACGTCAGCGGCTCGGGTAGCCGCCTTATAAAGGGCGCAGCCTACCCCGTTTGTGGCCCCGAAAGTGACAGCGGCCTGAGCCAACGGCCCACGCGGGACGGCTTTGACGAACAGCCCCGCCTCGTCCAATCCGCGCCGCGCGCCCTCCCCTTCCTCGGCCCGGGGTGCGGGGCCAGCGGGGAAGGCGCCTGGGCGGGGGCGTGGCCCGTGCGCTGATGGACAGGGGGAGGTGTCCAACCCGCGGCGCGTGTGGGCGGCGGGCGGCGGTGGGCGCGGCGTCGCGCGGCAGGCTGAGCTGCACCGCAGCGCTCATACACTACAATGGCTGCTGGGGAAAGAGGGGAAAGCAAACAATTTCCAGGCCCGCCGCGTCCAGCCCGAAATCAGGAAGAAAAATTGCGGAAAAATCGGAGAGCGCCCTAAAAGGCGGGAAGAAAGCGCGGAGGGGATGCGGAGGCGCCCGCGGTGAGTCTGGACCCGGTTTGGGGCTTGGCCGAGGGCGAGATCGGGGCGATTTAAATGCAGGAGGGGGAGGAGGAGGGGGAGAAGTTGGGGGGGGGGCAGAAGTTGGGGAAAAGTTGGGGATCGCGCTGCCCTCCAAGTCGCCCCAACTTTCTACCCCGCTTGAGCTTCTCTTCCGAGCCTCCCCTTTCTCCTTCTCTCAGAGCCTTTTAAAGAAGGGTCTCCCTCTCTCTCCCTCTCTCTCTTCCTTCCCCCCTCCCTTCCCCGTGTGGAAGTTACTTTCTTTGAAGTTCCTCTCCTTCTCTGAGGGTGTCCCCCCCCCTTTTTTTTCTCTCTCTCTCTCCTTCCCCCTCCTTCCTTCCTTCCTTCTTTCCCTGAATGCAGTGACAGCCGCAGCAGCAGCGGAAGACATTAGAGCCCGCCGCCTGCCTGCCTGCCTGCTTCTCTCTCTCTCTCTCTCTTTCCCCCCCTTAAATGAGAGAAAATTAATATAAATTCAGGCGTCGCTCCTTGCGAGACCCCCTTTGCGCAGAAACGTCCCCCAGGGTTGGCTCTCCCCGGGCGGCGTGGAAAGAGCCCGGGTGGGACACTTTTGGGGGGCTCCCGGAGCGCCTTTTTCGGGGGAGCTTTGAAAGTTTCCTCCTCCCTTGAGAGAGAGAGAGAGAAAGGGAAAGAAGTCGCCTTCTTTTTGCGCCTCTTTCTTGGGGGGATTCCTCAATGCGCATTCTTGCTCCTCCTTTGGGGTGGCTTTCTTTGGGGGGGGGGAGAAAGGGGCGCCCCGGTTTGAACGCGGAGGGAAAGAGAGAGAGAGAGGAGGGACAGCTTGTTGTCAGTATCATAAACAACCAAAATGGAGGGAGAACCCAGGGAGATCGCGAAATTGGGGAAAGCGGGGGGAGGGAAAAAAGCCCACAAAAATCCCTAGAAAAATACACCAAAAATATATACACATCCGCGCCGTGCCTCCCTTCTCCTTCGCTTCTCCTTCCCTCTCTTTCCTCGACTCCCCCCCCCCCCTTTTTTTTTGCAGGGAGTAAGGAGTTAAAAAGCGGCGCCTGGTCAAGCTTTGCAAATTCAGGAGGGTGATTATTTGTTTGCTTACAGCCCATGCGAGGAGGAGGAGGAGGAGGAAGGGGAGGTGGGAATCCCCTCCCCTTCATTTCCCCTCTGCCTTTAAATCTGGGAGTGGGATCTGTCTTGGGCACTGGCCGGCAGCCCCATCTGGAGGAAACTCCAAGGAGAAGGAGATCAAGCGCCGCTTCGCCTCCTTCCTCTCTGGGGGCCAAACTTTGTACCTTTCTTTGTTGCGGGGCGGGGGGAAGGAGGGAGGGAGGGAGGGAGAGGGATGGATGGATGGATGTTTGGTGGCGCGAAATGTAGCGCGGAGGTGTTGCTCGGTCTCTCTCTCTCCTCCGCTTGTTGCCTCGGTCTCCTCTCTTCTTCTTCTCCTCCTCCATCCATTCCGTTAGAGCAGGATGGGCTTTGCTTGCTCGCCTCCCAGCCCAGGTAGTGCGGGATCGGCTCTTTCTAGGAAAACAGAAGGATTCGTGGTTGCTTCACCTGTTTTGTATTCATTTTAGAAGGCAGTCTTGCAATGAGTGCAGACTTGGTCCCTCCCTTCAGGTGTTTTGGACTCCAACTCCCACCATTCCTAACAGCCTCAGGCCCCTTCCTTTACCCCCTCAGCCACAATAAGCGGCTGAGGGGGGAAAGGAAGGGGCCTGAGGCTGTTAGGAATGGTGGGAGTTGGAGTCCAAAGCACCTGAGGGGAGGGACCAAGTTTGCCCATACCTGCTTTAGTGTGGTATCTATCAAGTCCAGGCTTCCTTTTGCATCACTTTGGGGGCTCAATGCAAGATGTTGCTTTCCACGTGGGATCAGGGAGACAGAGCAGAGGATCTTAAAGAGACAGCTTCCTCTTTCCCTCAAGACACAATCTGGAGGGGAATAAGGCAGGGTAGCAACCCTAGGTTACTTGCATCTGTTAAGCCATACATAAATCACACCCAGAAGGCAGAGCAAGGGATACTTACCCTGGTGGACTTCCACTCATGGAGTGGGACTATTACAGGTATTGAATGCCTTTTGTAAGAGACACATATGGCAGCCTTATTTTCTGTGTTGGTGTGGAGTACTTACACTGGTGGACTTCCACTCATGGAGTGGGAATATTATGGGACTATTATAGGTATGGACTGACTTTTTTTAAGAATCATAGATGCAGCCATGTTTTCTGCGTTGGTGTGGAGTACTTACACTGATGGAGTTCCACTCATCGAGTGGGACTATTATAGGTTTGGGCTGCCTTTTGTAAGAATTATAGATGCAGCCTTATTTTCTGTGTTGTGACAACTTTGAATTGTTTTGCCATAGAAAGAAAGTTTGGACTGGTGTGTGTGGAAACTGAACTAGCTTGGTGTAAATATTAATATTGACGCTTCATTCTACAACATGTAAAATCTAAAACTTCCCACTAGACAACTTCAAATTGTCGTGCCATAGAAATTAAGTTTGGACTGGTGTATGTGGAAACTGAACTAGCTTTGTATAAGGACTATTATAGGTATTGGCTGCCTTTTGTAAGAATCATAGATGCAGCCTTATTTTCTGTGTTTTGACAACTTTTAATTGTTTTGCTATAGAAATTAAGTTTGGACTGGGCAGTGTTGAAACTGAACTAGCTTGGTGTAAATATTCATATTGATGCTTCGTTCTACAACATGTGAAATCTATAACTTCATCACACTAGACAACAACTTCAAATTGTCGTGCCATAGAAATTAAGTTTGAACTTTTGTGTGTGGAAACTGAACTAGCTTGTTATAAATATTAATATTGATGCTTCATTCTACAACATGTAAAATCTATAACTTAATCACACTAGAGAATGAATCCACTTTAAATCCAGTTTCTGCCTCCTGGAAGAATTCTGGGGTTTGTAGTTTAGTGAGGCTGTTAAAGGTTCCCCCTAAACTACAAACCCCAGAATTCTGCAGAAGGTAGCAACAAGATTTAAAGTGGATTCATTCCCTAGCGTGATGAGGTCCTTATAGTGGTCCTTTGTGGTTTATATGTGAAGCCATTTTACAGAAAGCTCTGCTGATAACATGTGTTGACGTTTCCCTTTCTGCTGTATCAGTTAAATGTAAACTTGTTTGTATTTTGAACATGTGAACAGGATTCACATCTGTATTGCAGGTTTGAATGTAATGCACTTATGACAATCTGTCATACAGATTTTATGCAGATTTGGGTATACATTTAAATTTGTCGTAACACTATATTTGGTTTTGTTGAAATACAGCCCAAAGTGCAAGAAGGTCTTACACTGGTGTGTTTCTAATATGTGTTGATTATTTTTAGAGAATCATGAACATGGCTTGTTTTTAACTTGTAACTTGCACAGCTTCTGTGATGTAAAATTTGGTCTGTGTGTACTTAGTTTAACTGATTGAAAGGTTTTGGGAAAGTAATTCAGAATTTTCAACAGATCTGTTGTTTTCCTGGTTTATATTAAATTACAGTATCTAGACTTGAATCTTAACTGATCTTGAATGGTAGGTGTTTTGCATGATGAGATAGGCAGACATTTGAGATATACTTCAATGCTTTGTTTTGTACCAATAGATCACTGTTGCAATCACCTGCTATATTTGTGACTTAGTCCTACAGATTTTAGCATGGAAATGAATCACACTGGAGTTATCAGTTCAAAAGACTCAATTGCCAGTATATAGCACAACAGCCATTGTGATCACTATGATAACAGATACTTTCCTTGTATATATTTGTTGGTTAGGATAAGTTTGCGATTTATACCCCCAGGGTTTTAAGGGGCTCGTTTTTTAAAAAAATCAGTTGTTTGAACTGTTCTTTAAGATCACTGGTGAGAAATTGATCTGTTAATGTGTAAGAATTATATGCACATTTCATCAAGTTATTGAATACTTTGTTGATATTAACATTAAAATGGAAAAGCATTTTAAAAACGGATGTACGCCATATGTTTTAAGAATGGCACTTGAATAACCGGTGTTTATAGATAAGTAATTTCCATCTATGTCAGTGAAAGTCAGTGAGTTCATAGGTGCATCTGGGGAAATAAGTAGGAATTCAATCTGTAATCACCTGTTGTTATCCCAAACACACACAAAAAACCAGAAGATTGAATCCAGACATTGCCCATTGTGGTAAACACTAGAAGAATAGCTAATGTATTCCCAAGAGAAACAAATTAAATCTTACTTTTTATAATAAAATAAGTAGCAAAACCATTCTGAACCTTCGCAACTTACATTTGAATATAGTTTTATTGTGTCAGTTGTATCTGATGTAAAGTTGTATCTTCTTAAATACATTGTAAAAGATGGTCTCTATTTCCTTGTTTTATTAAGTTTCTTTATAGAAATTTCTAATACCTTTAAAGGTGGATGTTTATTTTACCAATACTGTTAAAAGTAAGGCACCTGAGGAAAATAACAGTTACTTGAATATGTTTGCTTTAATGGGCACACCATTTTGTTAAGAAATATGGGAGCCCGAAAAGTTTTATGTTTAGAACAGGTCAATGAATAGAGGGTACAAAAGCTTTATTGATCTCTGAGAATGTTCATTTCTTTACTATTGGAAAGTTGTTTGTTATGCTCAAAATAATGTGGTTTCTGCACTATTCATTTAAGGCAAACACATTCTAACATGCTCTAGTGTCTGAAGAGAGTCTCCAGATATTCTTGAGTGCATGTTATTGACCAAACTATTAATAATTAGATTGTCCTTAGTTAAATGTTTGGAATTGGAATTGCCTTTTTACTTTTTCAAGACCTATGTTTACAATTCATGATCACCCTTTTGTTAAACTTTTTATAGTGGTGTTGTGTCATCATAATCTTACTCTATTGGAGCAGATATTCGAAGTTGCTCACTTATGCATTCATCTGATTCAGTAACTAACAATTTGAATTATGCTTACATTAGTCCTAGATTGTATTATTTCACAGTGCTTT